TGTGATTGGTTAGCTGGGTCAGTGTGTGCTGTGGGCCAGTGTGTGTTGTGATTGGTTAGCTGGGTCAGTGTGTGCTGTGGGCCAGTGTGTGCTGTGATTGGTTAGCTGGGCCAGTGTGTGCTGTGATTGGTCAGCTGGGCCAGTGTTTTGTGATTGGCAGCACTCGGCGCCTGGTCAGGAAATGTCACGCCCCTTACCATAGCAGCTGCGAGCTTCAGTGTAAAAATTGCGTCAAAATCAAATCAATTTGATCGCGATTTCAACCCGGATGATTGAAACCACTCTAAGTTCATCTGCCTTGGGAAAGCTAGCGTGTCTCCGACATAGTGATAACACTCGTTGCCTTCTCTAGTGCAGCTCAACCAGGTCTCGTCCCATTCGTCGATATTTGTGATATCACAAATCCCGGAAAATATGCATTGTAGTCCAAACGAGTCATTCGTTGTAGTTTTTGAAAAGTGATTTCTGTTACATAAAATATCTCCTTTTGAAGTGGACTTTGAGCTTTGTAACTTTGCAGGTCTTTTTTATGCTTAAACAGCAACATTACAGACTAACTAAAGTTGAAAAAGTGAAAAAGCATAATAGGACCCATAGAGAGGCAAGACACGAGACTCAAGAATGTATATTTATGGCAAACCATGGTGCAAAAACAATTATTTTGAGGAGATCGATACATTTAAGATAAAGATACAATAATTTGCAGCATAGTTAAAAGATAGTAAAGATGAATAAACGTGAGCATTGTTAAAGTACCACCAAATGCTCCTCAGATCCCTGTAACTAACCAAATCCACGAAATCACTTCATATTGGCCATGCAGAACATGACAGAAACTAACATGATAACCATGGACTGTATGTGGTGTAGACCTGCAGATGAACTATTAAAACTGCCAAACGTCTCATTCATCACTGCAAAACAATGCCAAAACGACAGGCTAATAACACATATTGTGGTGCAACCAGGCAGTCAGCGCAGTTTAATTATGAAACATGACTTAACTAATGGTAAAACAATGAGTATTAAACAAGTTTTCACACGAATACAGTAAGCTAGGCAAATCTGACACATCTCACATTATCAACATGCTTTTATCATCTTTTTAAGTTTAATTACTGTGCTGGCTAGATTTTCTTATTACAGTCATTAAGTCAACAAGGTTTCACAGATTGGTTCCACTCTTGTGTGTCACGAACTTCCAAAGCTCTGTATGGTCACGTGATTTTGCAAACCGTATATCCTCTGCTCCGCTTTGATTGGTTAGATATGGTGGAGAAAACAAGTCTGACCACCAGATGTCGCTAATGCGCACTGTGTTAAAAGCTTCGAGTAATGAACCTTTTTTCGGCACAATTTGATGAAAGCCTCAAACGGTTCAGAAAGCGTCGGTTTCCCATCACTAGTAATCACAGGGGTTTTCAAACCTGTCTTGGAGGAGCCCCAGCCCTGCACATTTTGTATGTCTTCCTCATCTAACACACCTGATTCAACCCATCAGCTCGTTAGTAGAGACTGCAAGACCTGGGGCAAGTTCAAGCTCAAACAGGTGTGCACCGTTTTGCTACGGTTTCCGGTTTGAACGACATGTTTCCTGGAAACGGTGTGCAACGGGGTTTGAGATGCGTTTTCTCTTGTTTGGTGGGTGTGTCAAAAATGTCAGCCCAATCAGCAGCAACAAGAAGTGGATTATCCTTCACCTGAAATGTTTGTCTTTTCATCCTGAAATGCGAGGCAAATGTTGGATCACAATAATTAGGAACCACAGTTTCCACAAATCCCTTCACTCGATTGGGATGTTCTCCTTTATTCTGGAGGGCAAGGGCAGTGACTGTAACATCGAGCATATTTTGCAGTATTAAACACGTATTTATACCGATTTCATCAGGCTCCGAAAATTCTTCAAAAATAACACAAAGAATGGCCTTCTCAGCTGCCATAGTTGCAACTCTTGCGTCATCAGAACAGTGTGTTCAACGCACAACCGTTTCCGTTAGAAAAACGTTTTGCACCATTTTTGTCGGGGCTGAACGCAGCCCTGAATTGGGTGTGTCTGATAAGGGAGACATACAAAATGTGCAGGGCTGGGGGTCCTCCAAGACAGGTTTGAAAACCCCTGACCCTGAAGACCGTTATTAGCTTGTTCAGGTGTGTTTGATTAGGGTTGGACCTAACGCTGCAGGAAAGTGGACCTTGAAGGCCAAAATTGAGAATCCCTGCATTATACTCATCTACCTGTAAAAACAACAACACAGCATTAATCCTGACTTCCTCTTTACCATGGTACAGGAATCCCCCACTCTTGTCTACGATAGCTATGGAGCCTTTTGTTATCTATTTTTTACGTTTAAGTTCAGAAAGAACCCAGCAACCCAAAATGTAAGGCAGTTTTGCACCTTCACATTTCTTGGATTATTTCATTCCTTGCCTAGCATTTTATTTTGAAGTCAGTTTCACTATGAACTTGTCATTGGGTTCCTGCATGGCTTGAAATTGAGTGGAATTCCTTAAAGCTGCATCTCTGCATCTCTACATCCACATCTCCACTCTTCCCTGCCTGATCATGATAGCTGTCTCCAAAAAAAAAAAAAAAGAATAAATTCCTGAAGCAATTACAAAAATAAAACAAATGTCTAGTACATTGAGGTATGTGGAGTATTGGAGTCCCAGCTGCTCCAGGAGGCCTTTCTGTGTGGAGTTTGTTTGTTCTCTCTGTGTTGACGTTGGTTTCCTTTTGGTTTCTTCCGCAATCCAAAGACATTCAGGACAGGTGAACTGGAGACTGTAAGTGAGTGTGAATATAAATGTGTGTGTGTTTGTCATCCCTGTGATGGACTGGCCGTCTGTCCAGGGGGTTTTCCTGCCTATGACCCAGGAAAGGCTCCAGCCTCCCCATGACCCTAGGACAAGTGCTTTGGAAAATGTATGGAATAGATGGATGGATGTACTGTGAGTGTTCCTCCCTCTCTGCCCTCTCTTTTTTTCCCCACCAATGTGTCTTCCTTGATCCATGTTTCCAAACAAAATCATTCTGAAGGCATCTATCGTATTTGTTTATCAAAAAGATCACCAAAAAAAAAAAAAAAAAAAAAAAAAAAAAAAAAAAAAAAAAAAACTACAAATAGGACATCTGGCTTGGCTTTCAGCTGAAATTGCAGCTAGTTGTGTTTGGAATAATTATTATTCAACTTCACGGTAAATATTCTGCTAAGATTTTGACATTTCAGCATAATTCCTGCAGAAATGGACAGAGTTTACCATTGTTCTGATCTGAAAGTGCTTTTATCCGTTTTGAAAGCAGTGTGTTAGCAACTGAAAATGTGCTGAAAATATAGTGTTTTGCAGGTTGTAGAGTATGAATGACAAAAGTGTTTGTGGATTTTGAGAAATGTGGTCACTGAATGCATTTTGTCTGAAAGCAATGAAAAATGATTCACAGTTCGTTTAGCATAGGCTTCTGTACTGCTGAATGTGTGAACAGTTTTGAAAATGTGGCTTCAGTATTGAGCAATGCTTGTTAGCAATTGAAACAAACTGAAAAAAATAAAATAAAAAAAGCAGAATTGGGAATCAGATCTTAACTATGTTTTCACAGACGAGGAATGGTAAAAGGTCCTTTGCCCTATTCCTCCCCTATTTGTGCTTATCACTCACTCACTAATGCAGTTTAAGTTATTAGACAGAATTTATTGGACAACATTGATTAATAGACTAAATTGAATAATTTCAACCCAGATCAAGATTCTGATAGATGTCGACAAGCTCCAGCAACCCTTTGCCATACTTTTTGCCCAAGATTCAGTTTTCTGGACATATTCAAGTCAATTTCTGGTCTCTAGATGTTGAACCATGTCTCCAAGTGGCATTATTTGGACTTAATCCCAAATATGTATCTCTGCCATTTTTCACACTCAGATATTCTAGCCTTTTTTTACCTAATAAACTGGAAAAAGCCTCAGTTATCATATATATATATATATATATATACATATATATAATAAACTTTATTAGTACACCTTAGTTAGCTAAGTAGCAATGACTATTTGTATTTTTATTAACAAACATTAATAAAGATTCATAAATACGGTAGCAAATGTGTTGCTCATTGATAGTGCATGCTAGTTAATGCATTAACTAAGGAAGGTTATTGTAAAGTGTTTCCCAATAATTTACCATAGTAATAGTATCAGATAAAACACTATAGTGATATAGTTATTTTGATGTGACAGTGGTGTCTAACACAAATAACTAGTAACTATGATATTTTATCCGAAACTATGGTTACCATAGAAAATATTTGTAGGGAGCATATTGAACATCCTCTAATAACTACAAAAATGTTTTAGTTGAAAAATATACATTATCACTGATCAAATATTTAAAGATAATATTGTAAATGAACTTTGAATCGACCTCTCTGAAAGCTTGTGCAAGCCACTGAAAAGACTGATAAAATATGGTGAGATCAATGATGTTGCTTGAGCAACAGTATTTCTTTTTATTAAAATAACAGCTGCTCCAGAAAACTTGTTTTTATACTGGGTTTGTTCTGTTTTATCTTGTTTGCTGAAGATACTATCCAAGCATATGACTTTGTGACCCTCGTTTTCAACTTGAAAAGCAAATATAACCATGAAAATCCAGGACAGGAGGAAAATGGCGTTGGTCCAGCAGGTCCATCAGCCTTTCATATAAGCTGTTAATGCACAGATGCTGAGATGTTTTTATACCTCACACAAATGCAAGAAACCTTTGATTCCGTTATTGGAAGAAAACACAAAAACATAGTTTAAAAACTCAAAAACCGATACATACTGGGTTTTTATGTTCAGATGTTAATGTTGACCACAGAAGTTCACTTATATTTGATGTAAGGCAAACTGAACATATATGAGTTATGATTATGAAAGAGGCTGCCCTCTGTGTGAATAAGGTTTGTAAAACCTGAGTAAATTGGTTGTAATGACTCAAAGCGACAGTAAGTTATCAATTTATTAGCAACTGGTTGACATTTGGCAAATTATAAGATGACATTTACCATGTATGGACAGCAGAAACAGATTATTCCCACACGTTCTTCTGACAGAAGGAAACTGCCTGTAGGAGTTCCATAAATACATAACTTAAAACATTCAGAACATAAGATAAAGATTATTTGAACGCTAGAATTTGCACACTTATTCATTTAAAAAGCTTTTCAGTGCACTTACCCCACAGTCGACAGCAGTCTGGAGGTCTCTGCAGCTGTACATTGGTCCAAGGCTACAGGGGGCAGCAGCAATGACAGGCTTCCTCTCACCAGAAACACACAAATTTGCCCTCTAAATGGTCAAAGAAAAGAGAAAAATATCTTATTTGAACATTTCAAACTATTAAGTTCATTTAACCATATCATATTTGTTAGAAACTCAATTGAAGTTTATAAAATGTATTCAGTTTTTGTGAAGGGTCATCTGGTGTACACTCACATGATATGAAGACTGTACTCATTACCACGGTAACGTTTTCCACTCAATTATGACGTAATAAGATCCTATGTCATTAAAATGACTTTTTTTCCCCTTGAAACGATGTTTTCTTACAAAAATGACATATTTTGTCATAAAAAAAACAATGTTTTTCTCATTATAACAAGATATTATATGGTTACAAAAAGACTGTTTGTACATGATGTGGTAAGCCTATACCTACTGATCTATAGGCCTATTCAAGAATATAGGCTATATCAGTGCTTTACACCAGTGGTTCCCAACCCTGGTCCTGGAGGCACCCCAACACTGCACATTTTGCATATCTCCTTTCTCTGACACACCAGTTTCAGGTCTTGGAGTTTCTACTAATGAGCTGATTACCTGAATCAGGTGTGTCAGAGAAAGGAGATATGCAAAATGTGCAGTGTTGGGGTGCCTCCAGGACCAGGGTTGGGAACCACTGCTTTACACAACAGATTTCAGGTAAACAAATTGGTGTGCTCACATTTATCTTTGGATAGCAAATTTTTGCAGGTGAAATCATTTTAGTAGGAATCCATGCGATCAGGAAATTCACGTGAGGGTGAAAGATTTCCTCACGCACATTTCACATTGGATTCAAGCTGATCAATCAAATTCACCAAGCTGACCAACTAAGCCTGAAAACCTGCTTGGTTTAAACTTTAAAGTGACATCTGGTTGAGTTGTGCTTCATAAACTGTTAAACAATTGACAATGAACAACAGACCTTTTTTAACTTATCTATTTTGGATAAAAAAAATAAAATAAAAAAGAACAATGGTAAATGTGACCTCACATTAACATTTCTTAAAAAGACAGTTCACCCAAAAATGAAAATTTGCTGTTAATTTATTCACCCTCAGGTCATCCAAGATGTAGGTGACATTTTATCTTGAGTAGAACAGTAAAGAAGATTTTTAGCTGAAACCGTGCTCCTTGGTAATTCATAAAATGCAAGTCAGCAGCTGCCCGTTTTTGAAAATAAAAAAAAGCATATCAAGGAACACAAAATTAATACCCGTAGCTCCTAGACTATATATTGAGGTCTTATGAAGTGAAATGATTGGTCTGTGCAAGAAACTGAACGTTATTTACAACATTATTGCCTGAAATCCAGAGCCTTGGGCAAACGGGTAAATCTGATTATTTTCTGTGACAGTTTGTTTCAATGAACTGGTTCAGTTCACTATACATAATCACACAATGACGTAACGTATGCAATTATATTATTAAAGCACCCAACAATGATGTGAAACGTGGATGTTTTACATGTCTAAAGCATATAAAGTGAATAAACTCAGTTCAGACTGTCGGAGGAACCGGAGCCCTGAATGAGTCTAGCAAAAACTAGCATCATAGGGTATGATGGCTGAGTGTTTTGGCTCATTTCGAGTTGGAGTGACTGTCAGGCACGTCTGAAAGTGAGTTTTGATTTAGTAACTTGTAGATCTGTGCTGTTTCAGACGGTTCAGTCCAATTTGGTGAACTTGTTCATCTAGTTCATTAAAAAGAACCAGTTAAAAAAAAAAATATTCGTTCATGAACCGGACATCATTCCGGACTGTTTGCCTGACGCTCTGGATTCCAAATAATAATGTTGTAAATAATGTTCAGTTTCTAACACGTTTTGCTTCATAAGACCTCAGCATATTGTCAGGAGCCATGGGTATTCCACGGGTGTTTTTACCTTACAAATGTCCAGCGCTCCCTGCTGTTTGCTCAGAAGCACACGGAGCTGGTTCCCATGACGCTGCACGTAAGTCTCACACTAGATGAGATGTAGAAATTATAGTAAACTTGCAAATTAAGGGCACTCTAAAGTCATTCATTTAAAGGAGCAGAATGATGTGTAACCTTTGGCATAGCACTGGGGTGCAGCTGGCAGACGGTGTCCAGGAATGAAGCAGCCTGGTGCTCGGTGGCATTGGGGCCCAGATGAACATGAGTCAGAACCGCCAATGTAAGGCAAGAATCACAATCAGAAAGTGCCACAGCTGCTGTTCGATAAAGAGAGCGGGAGGAAGAAACCGGATGGGAGGTAAAAGAATTTGTTTATAGGGACAAAACAAAACAAAATGATGAATATTTTTGTGAATTGTTCCTTTCATAATGTTACAGAATTGTTATTCTTGAATTGTAATTCAAAGGCAAAAAAATAAAAATACTGTAACTCAAAAGTCTGAACTCTAACCATTGACGGGATGCTCCCATATTTCACAAAAACGAAGCAGAGTGCATATGAAGTTAGGAGAAGTGTTGTTCAGTAGCATGTCAACCAACAGTTGGACGTATTTTTCAACCATCTTATTGCACCGTGGCTGAACCAGAGAAGGAAACTCACTGCACAAACTCTCCAGCAGCGCAGTTATGATGCTCTGTAGGGTACAAAATCACAAACACTTAACACTTTTAACTTACTAGTTAAATGAAATTCCTGGTGAAAAAGAAGTGCGCTTTAGCATGTTTTTAAAAAGAGTAGTTATTATGGAAATAATATCCTTTAATATAATATACTTAAGTGCAATTTAAATATTCAGTTCAGTTGTTGCCTTAAATTGGTAAATAAGTTTGGTTGTATAAGTCATTTCAACTTAAACTGGCTTAAATTTTGTTGTATCTCATACAACTTATAAAAAAGTTGAAATTGCTCAACTTATTTTGATGAGTTAAAGTAATGTAAAAACATAAGTTGCCATGACATATAATTTTTTTTACAGTGTGTGAGCTGAATGTAATGATTTTTGACACATAACTGAATGTTAAATGTAATTGAATGACATGTATTATAATTTAAATGAAGTGCTAAATAAACGAGTGCTCTTTTGACCCACTTAAGTAGGACTTAAGTACATTTTATATGTAATTTTACACCTATATTGTGTTTGAAATACTACTGACAAGCATATGTTAAACTAACATATACTCTAATGTCATTGCTATTGAAACTTGTATGTTGTACAGTATTGAAATATATTTGTAATTATACCATTGTCATGATTAAGTTGCAATTTAGTACATTTAAAATATATTAACTTTAAATGTAATATTGAATATCACACTACAGTTGAAATTATAATCAAGTACTTTACATGTGCTTTAGTATGTCAGTCAACACTTCAAAAGAAGTGTACTTCTTTAAAGCATGACAAAAGATGATTAAAAATGATTTAGAATATAATTTAAAGTAAAACATAATCTGGCATTATTACAAAATGCACTTTTTAAAAGTGTACTGAAGTTTGTTAAGAAACATAGTCATTAAAGTGTACTTATTAAGTGCACTTAAGTAGCCTTTTGTTTTATTAATATTATATTATCTGAAAGTACAGTTGTTTTTTAAAATACTTTTAAGATTTTAAGTACACTACAAGTGCACACTGAATACAATTAAGCACACTTCTTTTTCACAAGGGATAGCATGCAGTGTATACTACACACTATTGAGTAAGAAGTATGCTATTATTCTGAACTCTGCCCATGTGTAATGTGATTTTTCACCTGAGTCCTCTCTCTGGGAAACAGATACTCAAGTGTGCTCACAACGTATGTGCAAACAGAGCACTGAATGGACGTCTCTATCTGTGTTAGAGAGCAGAGAAACTTAGTCCGCTGTGCAGAACATGCTAACAACAGCATCTAAATCACTTCCTCTACATGTTACCTTCATAGTTGTCACTGGTACAGTTTTTGACATGTGCTCAAGCAACAGATCTCTAATCTTGGTACTGCCCCGTCCTCCACACATTCCAAGAAAAGCACAGATGTCACTGGGTTGCTGAAGTGAGAGATTGATGGGATTAGCAGTAAAATAAACAGCAGTGGTTCTCAACCAAATACGAATCGAAACAATACAATGTCCTATAGATCAAATGCATGTTTTAATCTAACTATATACCGTACCATCATGCTGGAAATGAAGGTGATGGCCAGAGGAAGCATCTTTTCCACCTCAGTGTGGCAGATTTGAGTGATTTGGGGAGGCAACTTATCACACACTTGCTCAAGAGTGGCAATTAATTTGGCCTAAAAAATTAGATGAATGATTGCATTGATATTACAAAACAAAATTTATTTACGGTGGCTCCAAAAATGATTTGGACATCAAATCTTAAAGTATGAATGCTATTACAGTTACAAATATCAAACCAAGTGGCATTTATTTTAAATGAGGATTTTCACTTTTCATGCAAAACATTTTACAAAAACCATAAACAAATAATTTCGACACATTCTAGTTGTTAAAAGTTAGCAGATAAATGTGATGAAATACACCTGTGTTGTGAGGTAAAAGAGAGATTCATACATTAAAATTAAAAAAAAAAAAGCCTTGACACCAGTTGGTTGACAGTCATCGCAACAATATTCTGAGAAAAGCTTGTGCAATATGTATTTACACACTTGGTTTGATATTTTCTGTCTGTGTAATACCTAGGTGTGTCTTAAAGGAATATTCTAGGTTCAGTATAACTAAAGCTCAATTAACAGCATTTGTGACATGATGTCAATTACCACAAAAAAATATTTCAGCAAAAAAAAAAAAAGCGAAAATCTGGGTTACAATGAGGCACCTACAATGGAAGGGAATGAGTCCAGTTCATAAGTGTTAAAAAGTATGTTAAAATCAGTAAAACAGTTACGTCTTCTCATGAGATTGGGTTGAAAAAAATTGCTTATGAATATTTTCTGTGTAAAGTTATATCCAATTTTACGACTTCAGGCCATGACAACACAACAACCGGTAAAATGACGAGAACGACATAAGTTTAAGAAACAAAAGTTTTAACAGAAGAATTAGTGGAGGGTTTTTATGAAATTATATTTAAAAAATATATTTAACTGCACTTAAACACTCACATTCACTTTAATTGTAGTAACCTCTCTTTTTTTTCTTTACAGTAACCTCCCTTTTTTTTAAAGAAAAGTCATTGTGGTAATCAACAGTATTCCACAAGTGCTGTCCATAGAGTTTAAAACAGAATATTCCTTTAAGAAGATAAAGCATCATATTTAGTCATTGTATATTGCATATAAATCTGATTGTAGGTAAGGTAGATATCATACAGAGTCTGTGAAGGACCATATCTGTGGTTGATAAAGTGGGCAGGTGAGAAACACACACCAAAATCATCAGGTTTATGAGTGAGAAGTTCAAAACGAGACACCATAAAAAGATCAGAAGCAATACAGTTCTGCTTTTCAACACAACTTCCTTATGTCTTTCAAATCTTCTTTAAGACATGCTGAAAATCATGCAAATCTGAGATAAAAGAAGTTGGAATCACGTTAAGACTGTCTTCCTTAAAAGCTTTGGCGGTGATTCTAAATTCACTAATGGATGCTGATTTTCAGTGCATTGTTATAAACTAGCATCCAATCTGCTTCTCCTAGATAAAGGTAAAGCACTGTATCTCAGACATCATGGGACCATGCATTTTTATTCACTATAACGTGTGTGTGTGTGTGAGAGAGAGTGTGAGTGATCTACCTGGAAGTCTTCATTGGAAAAGAGGTCCTTCAGGAGCTCAAAAATCTGAGTGCAGTCCTGACACATGTCACCCATCTACAGTATACAACATATTGTAGAATATTCAAAGTTTCTATTGCTTTATTTGTAAAAATGTTGTCTTATCAAATGTTTAATGTTAAAGGCGCAGAAATAAAGAGAAGTGAGACTTGTGGGACTCTTAAAAGTTTGTGGTTGGTGTATTTCAGGTGCTGTGTGAAGGGCTTTGAGGATATGAAAATGATAACTTCTATTTTCTTTAATCAATCAACTGCATCTGTCTTAGAAATAAGAATAATTCTGGATCTGGAATATGTGTTTATGACATTTAGCATTATCATTTTTCTTAGCCAGGAGGTCATTTTTTTAAGAAACAAAACTAAAGAAAATAAGCCCAGTCCAGCCGGTTTTAAATGCAGATTTACAGGATCGGTTTGTTTAACAAGTATGTAACAAACGAAACAAAAGCAACATTCCTAAAACTCACCGCATTGTCATCCGCACCCATCAGGACATTCGTCATGCCTGTTCTATCAAGAACAGATCTTGTTTTGACTGTTAAAAACAAAGCGTTTTCAAGAAACTCACTGAACTTACATGAAAGATGAAAACGACAGTGCAGGCTATATGTTCAGAATTGCATGTGTTTGGAAAAGAATTTACAGCATTACAATATTTCTGTGAGAAATGTGTATAGATGTAAAATGTAAACAAATTCACACTAGTTTTGAGGGAGATATTTGTAGAAATTAAAAAAAAAAAATTGTAAATTGCCTTGTTGGCTAAAATCAGGCACACTTTTTAATATAGCTCATTTTCTGTGAGAAATGTGTATAGATGTAAAATGTAAACAAATTCACACTAGTTTTGAGGGAGATATTTGTAGAAATTTAAAAAAAAAATTGTAAATTGCCTTGTTGGCTAAAATCAGGCACACTTTTTAATATAGCTCAAGATTATATTTCTTGTCACACACCATTATTCCATATTTGTAATTCAGTAAATATTCACACAGATCATTTCATTTACCTGAGCCTAGAAGGGCAGTGAAAAAGAGAAACACCAGTTTAAAGGCAGTCATGTCTTCAGTCACCGAAGGTCGCAGAACCAATGTAAAATTCTCAAATTTGGCCCTGTATATAGCGACAGGAAAGTTCACCTCAAAGAGGAACTACCCTTTATATACGACGCCCCAAAAGCACAACCCAGGCGTGATAACATAGAGCCTGTGCAAATGAGAAAGCTGTAGGCCTACTGTACAAATACTGTTGCTTAATCACATTATTCGACAAATAAAGCCAATATTTGTCACGTTTCCAGATTTGTAAGTCTTGCTTGGGCATGCATTTCTAGTTAAATGGCTCATAGTCAGGATAGAGCCATTCTAAAACACATGGCGGACCATAAAACGGGTGAAAAAAATCTCATAGACTTACTCTGATGGAGGGACCTGAGTCATTACTAGAGACCTGGGTCTGCTCTTTAGAACTGAGCATCCAACTAGTAACCACACAGCTTAGCAAATGCACAACAACACATTAAAAACTATTCAGAATACCTTAGCAACTACATAGCAATCCCACAACACCCTAGTAACATAGTGGCAAATCTTGCACAGGCACCACCAAAATAGCATTTGTAATAAAGTGAATATTTAACCAACTGAAAGAATTGAAAAATACTTACACTCTTCTGCATAGCTGATGGGTTTCAGAACAAACATTTCATGTTCAGTTTATTCAGTAGATAAATACTCACATTATGTCAACGATGGGATAATCCTAGTCACATATTGTAACTGATTAATAAATTTTTTTCAAACTCATTTTAATATTAAATTAAATGTTGGCATTGTATAGCAATTATAATAATGATACTGTCACAAAAGAACATATTTTGAGGAATGTTGGTAACCAAACAGTTGATGGTTTTGACTTAGTATGAAAAAATATACTATGGAAGTCAATGACTACCATCAACGGTTTGGTTACATTCTTCAAAATATCTTCTTTTGTGTTCAATAGAAGAAAGAACCTCACAAGTTAGCAACAACTTAAGGGTGAGTAAATGATGACAGATGTCTTATAAATGTCTTTACTGTCACTTTAGATCAGGGGTCACCAAACTTGTTCCTGGAGGGCCGGTGTCCTGCAGGGTTTAGCGCCAACCCTAATCAAACACACCTGATCCAGCAAATCAAGCTCTTACTTTGTATACTTGAAACTTCCAAGGCAGGCGTGTTGAGGCAAGTTGAAGCTAAACTCTGCAGGACAGCGGCCCTCCAGGACCGAGTGTGGTGGCCCCTGCTTTAGATCAATTTACTGCATCCTTGCAGAAAAGAAGTATCAGGTGAAGTACCCCCCCCCCCAATGAACAGATTAGATAGATAGATAGATAGATAGATAGATAGATAGATAGATAGATAGATAGAATACAATAGAATCTTATTGACCCTGAACTTTTGAATGCTGATTCTATGTTAACAATTACTAACCTCCAATGCCAGCAGGGGGAATATAAACTCACTGTATGCTCCAGTGTTTCTAAAGTAAAATGCAAGCTTGAAATGAAACCACCTAGTGGATCCTCACATGATCTGGCTTCCATATCTTGAAACATTCCTGGCCAATAACATCTAGCTCTGACCAGCTTGAAAGTGCGTTCTACCCCCTGATGCCCATGTTTGTCATGTAACCCACGAAGGACTTCCTCCTTCAAACTCTGAGGTAGGAGCACCTGTTTAATCTGGCCTTGTCTAGTATCCACAAATTGGCGATACAAGACTCCTTCCTCCTCTACCACCTTCTCCCATTGCCGCAGAAGTTCCAAGGTCTTACCATCCTCTTTAGCCCTCGCCAATCTGCCAGGTTTTACTCGCTGACTCCAATACACAAGAAACCTTGCAATAATGGGGTCGACCTGCTGTTGAGCTGCCCACACTGCCGATGAAAACACAGGGAAGCTACATGTGGTTGTCTGCTCATTTACCATCACTATATGACCCTTCTCTGGAGTTTGATTAAAAATGCTCCCCCCAAATGCAGGTTTAGCTATTAACTGGGTTTGTCGTGACAATGCATCCGCCCCCCCATTTTGACGCCCTGGTCTATAATGAATTTCAAAGTCAAATCTAGCCAGCTCTGAGACCCACCTCTGCTCGACGGCACCAAACTTGGCAGTCTGCAGATGGCTCAACGGATTATTATCCGTAAACGCTATAAATTTGTGACCTAACAAATAGTCACTAAACTTATCTGTGACTGCCCATTTCAATGCCAACAGCTCCAACTTCATGGCACTATAATTCTCCATGTTCCGCTCGGATGGCCTTAAACCACGACTTGCATATGCAATCGGTCTTCTTCCCCCTTTCCCTTCTTGGGACAATATTGCTCCCAAGCCCTGATGACTAGCGTCAATTTCTAAATAGAAGGGCTTTGTAAAATCTGCATAGCCAAGTACCGGGGCAGTAACTAGCTTCTCTTTTAATACCTGGAAAGCCAATTCACACTCAGAACCCCACAGTTCACCAAGTGGCACTCTAGTGGTCTTTGACTTACCTGCCTTTGGTGTAGCCAATGCTGCAAGGGCATGCAGGGGTGCTGCCAGCTGAGAACAAATTTTTACAAATCGCCTGTAATAGCCTGCAAAACCCAAAAAAGATTTAAGTTCTGTTACTGTACCTGGTCGTGGCCATTGGGCCACCACCCGGGTTTTCTCAGGATCTGTTGCAACCCCCTCAGCAGATATCACATGTCCCAGATAGGACACTTGGCGCTGGAAAAGCGAACATTTACTCCATTTTACTTTTAGGCCACACTCCCTAAAACGTGAAAGAACTAACCTAAGACGACTAAGATGTTGTTCAAAAGATGACGAGAACACAACCACGTCATCTAAATACAGAAGCAAAGACTGAAAGTTAGGGCTCCTGCGTACCTCAGGTGTGCTATATCTTATCTCCTGTTTAGCTCCCCCCTCCAAATGATCATAGAGAAATGCTGCCTGTTCTCTTTCTCTATATTGTCGGTAATTCATAGAGTTCTGCACTTCATCAACCCAATCATAATAGGAGATAGTACCTGGATCACCAGAAAACATTAACATCTTTTTATCTTTAGGCACATAAATCACTTCAACAGATGTTGTAACTTTACTTGTGGAGGCCGACGAGGCCGCTGAATAAGCCAGGCCTGCATCTGAAGGAAGTAATTCAAAACAGTGACACAAACCAGCTCCTAAAACAGAGCCAGAAAGAGACCCTCCTTATTGTGCTAGGACATTCAAAATCATTTTTTAAAACACCACACATCGAATAACATATATAAATACACCAATACACATTTCAATACAGCACAATATAAAACAAACATACATTTCAACCATATATATCACATACCTAGTACCAGCTACGACAACAGTTTTCCAACTCTGGCACAAACCATCATTGCCGTCTGCACAAAACATTTAAATGCACATGATTATACAAAATATCACACTTTTAAAAAGTATTACATCAAACATTGTCACATACCTAACAACAGCTACAACAACTGTTTTCCAAAGCTGGCATAAACCATCATTGCGGTCTCCAAGAAAGAAATCACAACCACCCATCTGGCATTCAGCGTGCACGCCGCCATTACCCCAAAGCTAATACCATGCCATTCATAAAGGACGCGATGCTAGAAACTACCGTACTCCCCCTACCAAACAGGACTACCATAAATACTATAGTGGTTGTAACCATCACATTATCAAAAATAATCTACTCTAGAGGGACTA